AATCTGAGAATCTTTCTAATTATTAGTGACTTGGATTAGTGATTACAGCTATAGAGCATTTTTTTTTCATATAGTTGTTGATAGCTTGGAAGGAAGCAGTTGTTGATAGCTACAAAAGAATTGTGATGGCAAGGACCTGGAAATTGTGGGGATGCCCATCAGTTGCTAAATGGTCGAACGAGTAGTGTATGATTGTGATGCGATGCTGCTGTGCTGTAAGAAATGATGAGCTCAGTGATCTGAGAAACACACGAAAGACTTGCACGAAATAATGAAGAGCAAAGTGAGCAGAACCAAGAGAACACTGCATACAGTAATAGCAGTATTGTTTTAAAAATGACTGTGTGAATAAGTTATCTTGTCTATTATAAATACCCAAATGAACCATAAAGGACATATGAAGGACACTATTTACATCCAGAGAAAGAACTGAGAAATAGAAGTATGCATAGGATAATTTTACATTTATGTAGGTATGTATACACGCACACACCTATTTGTGTCTAATGGTAACCAAGTTGGGGGGGAGGGAAGAAGAAAAAGAAAAAAAGAGAAATTTGCATGATAATTTTCTTGTAGATTTGGAAGGAATAGCTAGTTGTGCATAGCAGATTTGCAGTTTCATGTGCAATCATCCTTCTATTGTTCTATGTTATGGACTTGCTCATTTTATTCCATAAATTAAAAAATTTTAAAAAAAAGAGAGAATCGGGATATAGGAGATTGGCTTCCAAATGTTTCTATTGAGAATAGTGACAAAACTTCAAGTGAACGAGATGACGTATATTTTAGGTTTTTTTTTTTTTTGATCCTGAAGGTAAAAGCACACAACTACAAAATGGACCAAAGCATTGGACTTCCTAAAGGTCCAATGAATGTACAGAGATGAATGAAGTTTTTGCGAATTTATTTTATTTTATTTTACCTAGGCTATACAGGCTTTGATTATGTTTTAATAATTATAAAATCTCAAAACTGGATTAAGGCTTTTTGATATAAAATTGATGTAATAAGTTGTGAATAAACTTTAAAATCATATTTTCCTCCCTGCTTTGAAATCTGTCTGCTTATATGAAGAGGCAGAAAGGCTAACTTTACAAGCACCTGTAATACCTGCTCTGGGACCCAAGTGTCCTGACTCCCTGGCCTCAGCCCTCCCAGAGGACCCACAGGTGCTCCAGTGAGAGAATTTCCCTCAGGAAAGTATAACAAGATAGAGAGTTCCCCATGGCTGTGCAAGTGTTTCCAGGCAAGAGGAGAGGTTTAAATTGGAGTGGGCAAGTCTGGGGTCCAGGCTGCAGGAAGGACGGGGACATCTGCCGGGTGGGGATGTGGGGGATGTGGGGGAAGTGAGGGAGGGGAATGGTTGGGAGAAGCAGTAGCGGGGCACGGTCTGTGTGTCCTAATTTGGAAGATGAGTGTAGCCAGGGGGAGAGCAGGAAGAAGACCAGGAGAGTCTGCTGAGAAGAAGGAGGGTCTGAGTCCCAGAGCAGGGGGAGGGAGGGAGGTTGTGGGAGGAGGACTTTTACAGCTTAGTCGGTGGAGGCCCACGTGGAATTTGAGCCCAGGGGTGGAGTTTGGAGGCTTGGGAGGGGTGGCCGAGGCATTCCATGTGACGGAGGGCAGGGCTTGGGGAGGGGAGGCAGGCAGGGTCTGAGGACCTGCTCTAAGAGCCATTGGAGGAAAGGGAAGATCCTGCCTCGGGTTTCAGCGGGACTGGGCAGGGCGGGGCTCTTGGACTGGAAAGACCCACCCAGAGTGGGCTGGCTGGGACAGGGTGCCTTCGGAGCTGAGATCGAGCTGCCTTCTTTTGGAGCTGTGTTTACTCTGATTTCCCTTGGGGGTGAGATCACTCTACCTTTTTCCTTTGGAGCTGAGATCCCTCTGCCTTCCATAAGCCAGCTCTGTGCGTGCAGGTCCAAGGTAGGTCTAAGCCAGGAAGCCACGTGGCCCTTAACTTCTGCTGGCTGCCCTTCCTGTTCTGTTGCATTCTCCCTGTCTGACCTCATGTTCAGTGAACTCCGGGGCTGCTAAGGAGCTCCTCCCTCCCAAGGCCGGCTCTGTGGCCCTGCCCCTTGGCCAGGCTCCTCATCACATCCCAAACGTCCTGGGGTGCCATCCCCAGCTTTACCATTGTGTCACACTTGCTGACCTTCAGGCTTCCTTCATGGAGACCCAAGATTACTGCCTTCCGCCCCTCCATCGGGATCCACGTGTCCTGTTCCCCTGCCCCCAGCTCTCGTTCCGCTGCCTTACCAGCAGCCCTGACTCCCCAGGAGACCTGCCTCCTTGCCCCCAGGACCTACCCAGGACCCAGGCACCAAAGCTCCTGCCTGGCCTCCCTTACCTGGACCTGTGGCTCTCCTGCCGGCTCCCTCTCAGATCCCAGCCATTGGGTCCCTGTCTCCAGTTCCCCTCCAGGGACCCAGAGAAGCAGCCTCCAAGCCTAAGCTCCAGAGAGGGACCAGGAGCCCTCCCCAGCTCCTGGTAGACCCAGGACACAGTCATTCTTCTTTCCCAGGCTCAGCTGCCTCCTGGAACCCTTCTGTCACTCAGACGTCCCCTATCCTCTCCCCCAGCTTTGGTACAGTGTCCTGCCTCCCAGAGCCTTCCTTACCCTGGCCTCCTTCTCTGCCCCCACGTTTTTCAGAGCCTCAGGCCCCCTGCCAGGCAACTGAATCCCAGACAGGATTGTGTCTTCCACCTCAGGCTGGCCCTGGTCATTCCTGGCAGCTCCAGAGCCCTCCCATCCTCAACCTTCCGTCCCTCCTCAATCAAGCAGTCTGTCTGTTGTCTAGGTTCTGTGTGGGTGAGTTGGGGAGAGGGGAGGCAGGGAGGCCAGAGGACCAGGTGTAGGGAGAGCTCTGCCTTAGGAGCCATTGAGGCTCTGACTGGTCATCCCACCTGGGATCCCAAAGCCTCTTCTGTCTCCTGGGTCTCTGTAGGAGGAGAGGGAGGGGAGTAGTCTTCCTGTTCTGACCATCTTCATTTCCAGGCCTGACCCTGCCTGCTTTCTCCCTCCCTCTGCAGGTTGGGGTGTGTGCCCTGAGGGCAGGGACCTCACTCCCTGTAAATCCCTGTAGGCCAGCCTCCTGGCAGGGAAGAGAAAGGAAAGACCTCTGCCCCTCTGGGATCCTTCAGCCTCCCCAGCTCAGCCTGCAGAGGACCAAGGCCTGACCCAGCAGGGAGCCCGGAGCCAGAGGGAATGGCCCCTGGGAGCCGAAGACCCCCAGCCCAGGTGAGTGCACTCTGTCCTCAGACTAGACCCACATCAGCCAAGGAGGCCATTTCCACAGACCCAGAGGCTTGTCTACACAGCTGGCCATCCCTACCTATGGACCGTTTCTTTACAAAAATAGGCAGGAAATTGAATAGAGTAGTACCGGCGCTGCCCTGCTCCCTCCTTCTGTGTTTTGAACTGATTCAGTGGCGCTTTGGCATCTTGTGCACTAACTACCCCTCCCCGCCCATGCCCCCCCCCAGTTGCTGTCCTCCCCTGTTCGCCTTCATCGTCCCTGACTCACAAGGATGACCACTCCACTCAGTAGTTTCTGTTCTGTAGGCATCATGGCTTTGCTCTCTTCTTCCATGCCCCCCCATTTAACTCCCCCCCTCCTCTGTTCCTTGTGGCCAAGCTCTGTCTTCGAAGAACAGAAGCTGCAGGGACCCTTTTCAGACCAGGTCTGGGCAGGCCTGGAGCAGAGCCCTGAAGGCTCCCCCAGCTCTTGGCCTCCGCGGTGCTGTGGGCAGAGCAGAAATGGTCCTGCTGGTGCTGCTCGCATCCTCCTGCCCCAGCTCACGCACGTCTTCCCAGGTCTCTCTGAATCCCTCTCATTTACCAGCTCCTAAGTGAAGTCCACAAGCATTTAGAAAGGGTAGGGACCCTGTGCTAACCTACTGGGGATACAGAGGAAGGGAAAACCAGTCCCTGCCCTCAGGGAGCCCCCAGTCTGATGGGGGAGACGAGGCTGCAGCTGTGTCCACACAAGCTCTGTACAGTATGGAAGGGAGGGAAGGCTCTGGCAGCTTCAGGGACCAGGAAAAGCTTGTTTTCAGAAGGTGAGATTTTAGCTGAGACATGAAGGAAGCCGGGAGGCCCAGGGGAGGGGGAGGGCATTCCAAGCAGGAGAGACAGCCATGAGAAGGCACAGGGTCAGGGGATGGAAGGTCTGGTAAAGGATCAGCCAGGAGGCCAGTGTCCCTGGGTCAGAGAAGAGGAGGCAGGGAGTATGGCCTAAGAAGACTGAAAGGGGCTTGGGGCTGGTTTCATGGTGTCTGCTGTGTTCCAAGGCAGCCCAGGATGGAGCCCGGCAAGTACAGTGCAAGTAATTGTCTGAGTCTGTATTTGAGCTCAGATCTTCCTGACTCCAGGCCCAGGATTCTGACCATGGATTCACCAGCTCCCTTTACCTAGGAGTAGTGCTCACCACACCCAGTTCCCTGATCTCCACCCCCCCAAGAAAAAAGAAAGAAGAAAGGGTCATTACAGCATGTGTTAACATTCCTGAGAGGGAAGTAAAGAACTTTGGGGGAGACAAATGGACCAGCCACATCTCTGAAGGGAATGTGAGGATGTGTTATTTACTGTTAAGAAGAAGCTGAATCTGACAGCGATTCATGATTTCACCCCGAGCAATCCTCTTTCTCTTCTGCTTTGTCTATGGGAATACTCCTATTTGGGGTGCTCATTACATTTACGATAAATTAAATAAATAAAGAATCTTGGGCTTCCTTTAAGACTCAGCTGAAATGATCCCTTTTCCAGGAAGCTTTTCTGATCCCCACGCAGCTGGTGCCTTCCCCTGTGAGATGAACATCTGTCCCCTGGCATGAGTCTTTGTAGGCAGCAAGGGGGCCAATGGCTAGAGAGCTGGGTTCTGCAGTTAGGAACAACTGAGTTCAGGTGCTGCCCCAGACACTTACCAGGGAGGTAACCCTGGACAAGTCACTTAATCTCTGTCTGCCTCAGTTTCCTTATCTGCAAAAATGGAGATGATAATTGCACCTCAAGGTGATTATGAGCCTGAATCACCAAAGACGCTTACTAAGTGCCTACTATGTGCTAGGCACTGTGTTAATGCCTGCGGATACAAAAAAAGGCAAAAGACAGTCCCTGCCCTCAAGGAGCTTACAATCTACAATGGGGAGACAACATGCAAATGAGTATATGCAATACAGAGCAAGGCATATACAGTATACTTAGAAAGTAAGTGGGAAGGCTGCAGAATTAAGAGGGGGTGGGGAAGGCTTCCATAAAAAGTGGGATTTTAGTTGGGACTTAAAGGAAGCCAGGGAGGTCGGTAATCTGAGTGGGAGAGGGAGAGCCAGGTGTGGGGAGCGGCCGGAGCACATGCTGGGAGGTGAGAGATGGAGGGTCTGGTTCTTGGAACACCCAGGAGGCCAGTGTCGCTGGATTGAAGAGTACGCATGGGGGAGTAAGGTGGGAGAGACTGGAAGGTAGGAGGGGGCTGGGCTCTGAAGGTCTTTGATGCAAAACAGTCTTTTGTATTTGATGCTGGAGGCAGGAGGGCCCCACTCTTGGGGGTGACGCGCTCAGACTGGTACTTTAGGAGCTGAAGGAAGACAGACAGGAGCGGGGAGGGCCTTGAGGCAGGCAGCCCCCTAGCCGCTGCTCCGGCAGTCCAGGGGCGAGGTGATGAGGGCCTGCACCAGGGCCGGGGCAGGGTCATCTGTCGGCATGCTCTGGGAACCTCAGAGGGCTATAGAAATGCTAGCTATTCTTGCAGGTAGTTCTTTCCTTACCTGTAGTTTTCCCCACTGGGACCTTTTCCCTTTTGCCTGTGAATCCGGAGCCAAGATTGGCGGGTAGTAAGTGATCAATCCGTGGTGCGCACTTCCTGGTGGGAGCCGTCTTTCTCTTGTTCTCACACTTGAGCTATGTCTTGAGGCCTCCAGGGGCTCACAGCTGAAGGGTTGGAAGGGGCCTCATTGACACGAGTCCCCACCAGGACCAAGAAGTGGTCATGCAGCCTCTAGGTGAAGACCTCCAAGGATGGGAGAGCTGCCTGCACCTCGTGAATAGCTCGGTCCACCTTGGGACAGCTCTCACTGTTAGAGGCTGTTTGGGATCAATTTGGTTTAGTTTTTTTCCCCCAGAAATGAAGCTCCAATTGGCCTCTCTGTGACTTTCACACGTCGTTCCTGGTTTTGCTCTCTGGGCACAACCCGACAAGTTCCCGTCCCTTCCTCCGTAGGAACGCCATTTCCAATTGAGCCACTTGAGCCAATATTGAGTTCCGTGGGCTCTATTCTCCCACTAGAGTTTTTAAAAAATGTAAAACAGTTTGGCCTTTTTTTGTCGTCCCCGGATTGTCCCTTTGTCCTTAAGCCACAGGGAGCTCTAGCGTTTCTGACCCTGAATTTACTGGACGGTTCCACGCTTGTTACATCCTCTGACTCCTGTTCTTGGTTCCATTCCCTGACCATTGTGTTTTTAAGATTTCAGTTGGTTGGTGAGTTCTCTTTCCATTGATATTGGTCTCTTGAGACAACAGTTTTTTCTTCTCATTGAGATTGTTTTCCCTTGTGTCTTCAGGATGAACCACTTGAATGTCTTGGGCTGACTTCCCCTCTAGGATTTGAGGACCTGGGGGTCATATCTGTCTTCTCCTCGAGTGAGTCCTTTGAAACCTGCCACCTCCCGATGTAGAGTTCACATCAGCCCGTCCCCAGACTCCTCCTCCTCTGTCCCTCATTCTGGGAGGGGTTCGTCACCATCATTTCTAGGGTCCCATCATTTCTAGGCCAGCAGCCAGTTCCTTCCTGGTAGTGACAAACAGTTTCAGAGTAGAATGTCCCCTTTTTGGTTCTTGTATGTTTTGAAAGGTGAAATTATCTTGAAGACTAGTCAAGACATTATTTGGCTTGAGAGAGAGAGAGAGCACATGCACACTCCAGCCAATGTTTGTAAAATAGAGGGTCCTCATCACTCCTGTCTCCTGCCTCTGGGCCAGCCTAGATGTCTCTTTTTCTTGGAAATCTGGTGGTTGCTTCCTTCCTAGAAGGTGGATCTGGTTCCTGCTGCATGGGTTTTTTCATCTCTCTGCTAGCTAATGCCAGTGAGCCAGCAGGAATCAGAGACAGGCTTTCTCCCCCTCTAGAGTGCACACACCCCACCAGATCTCACAGGCAAGTTGTGTCATTATCAATATGTGTTTATACATTATACAAGAAGAAGGGAAATCGTGGCTCCTTCTTTGATTGCTGCTGGTTCTACAGGCCACAAGATGCACTTATTAAGGAGTGTGGGTCTCTTCAGTCACCGGAGGTGGATAAGCAGTGGTCCTTGTCAGTGGAGCTAGTGGCACCAAATCCCAGGGAACTCCTCGCTAAGGGGGGAGGGCATTCCAGAGATGGGCACGTCCTCTTGTTGGGGTTTCCTGACGTGTGGTGGAGGCACCGTCTCAAAGAATTCAGGGTCAGACCACCTCTAATCATGGAACCAGCAACTTTAGTGAAAGCAAGATGGATTTTTATAGGGTAAAGATGCGATTACATAACAGAAATTAGGAATATTAAAAAGGCTGGAGGGGTTTGTTAAGGGATTGGGTAATAGGGGAGGGGTCCCAGCCTCAGTGGAACTGCACATGCAATTACCCACAATGCATACAGAAAAACCCATGGAGAGAAGGGGTGGTGGTGGTGGTGGTATATAGTATGTATGATAATGATATTATGATAAGCCTCTCTATGTCATAAGTTCACCTGAAGTACGGCTTTCGCTATTGCTGCACAGGGGCCTGCTTAGGGAAAGTCCCTTCCATTATTTTGGGGTCCACATCCTGCTCGGGCATCCCGGTGGCACTGCTTTCTGATCGGCTGGCTGTCATGGTGCTGTCTGAAACCGATGTGGTTGAGTGCACGGTCACGCCTGCTGCTTCTGTGGGAAATATGAGGAATGGGTGTGGGGGCAGTGGCTAGCTGGAGCCAGTGGCTGGCACTGGGGGCAGGGGCTAGCTGGAGCCAGTGGCTGGCACCGGGGGCAGGGGCTAGCTGGAGCCAGTGGCTGGCACCGGGGGCAGGGGCTAGCTGGAGCCAGTGGCTGGCACCGGGGGCAGGGGCTAGCTGGAGCCAGTGCCTGGGACTCCATCCCGTGGACAGGCCTGCTGTTCTAGGGAGCAGCGAGGCATAGATAGGATATTGAGTTGGGGGGCAGTGGACCTGCTATTTGGTGGGGCCTGTAAGGAAGTTAGAATGTCCGGGCTGGGGCCAGCTTTG